AAAGTTTCGAGTTTCAGATGCCGATGAATGTATAACACCTTATAGAACAAAAAGTTTTGCTCTCCTGATTTTCGGCTTTAGCGTCATTATTGTATATATATTGAACTATAGTTTTCGAAAGTTTTATCACTTTTTGTTTATAATTGACATTTTTACAGCAACTTTAAAAAATTGACGTTTTATACCGTTTTTTCAATCTCACGGCTTTGTTATTGCAAATTTCGTAATCGGACCACCGCCATTTTGTAGCTATTTTTATTACGAACAAAATCATGTCCTAAGCATTTTTTCGTANGTCTTTAATGCTTGAGTGATTTTAATGCTTTTTATCAAATGTACTTATTTTCTCATGGTGACAAAAAAAATTATCTACGTGAAAATTATTTTACAAAATCAATTTCTGAGTGATCTGTGTAGGGTGAGATTTGTTATGTAATTTTAAATTTAGCGGCGGCAGAATACCTAAAACAAATATTGAGTAGGTAGGTATATAGTTGTAGAGCGTACAACTAGATGGCGCTTGCATCTTTTACCGGCTACAGGTAATTTAACTCACTGTATTACCGACAATTCCTAGAAAAGGAAAGCAATAGAAGTTGGAGAAAGTGTTAACAGTTAGCGCTGTTAATGACCACGAAATCTGTTCAAGTTTCCTATCTATAGTATCATTTATCTAGGTGACAGATTCAGACCACAGAATATAAACATGTTTAATTCTGTGCTCAGAGCTCAGACCTTAGAGCATATACTACTAGAGGCAGCGTCCCAGTATTTTCTATTTCTCTCTAGCAACATGCAATCGCGTGCGGTTAGAGAGAGATAGCTTAATCCCTCCTATACCTCTCACTAAACCTCCGCTACACTCTCGGGCACCGACATGCTGCTTCCACTGATATATGCGCTAAGGCTCAGACCACAGATCGCTCAGACAGACACAGTAATGGATGTGTAACGGTGCATTCACATGGGACGACAATTGACATTTTTGTCTGTTCCGGAGAGCCGAAAGGAGTTGCGATTGATTAATTTTATAAACGGTCGCTTTCAAGTTCATCACGGAAAAAGTTGATTTTCCGGCATCAGTTTTGGCGGAACTCGAGGTTCGTAGGTTATATTCACGTTATATTTACTGTCATTTGTAATAACGTAATATTAACACTACTTTTAATTTTTCCACATATTGCAATTTTTAATAAAAGTTTGTTGGCATTCATATTACCATAACAAAGATTTTTATTTCCCAGATGTTTTTCGTTAATAAATTTCATAGGTTAGATTGGTCAGCGGTTACATTCAACGTTAACGTTCCATGTCAATTGAGAGTCGGGACGCGAATGATACTTCGATACTTAAAGGGTATCGATACTTTCCTAATATCGATACTGAGAGAATAGTATGGTATCGTTTTTAAATTTGCTGTACGTTCAGCTTATTTTATTTTGCAAATTTCAAAATTAAGTATGGAATACACGAGATATGGAAAAATGCCATGCTTCAAATTTTCTGGGGCCAACATACGCGATACCTGGGCGTGACGATGTACCGGCGACTTACGCGGAAAATGCACATCGCGGAGACAGTGGCGCGAGGCAGGACCACCATCAGGGCTAAGCTCTATCTTTTACTCAAGGGGAGCAACACCCTAAGTTTAATTAATAAGCGAACGCTAATCAAGGTGGTACTTCAAAGCCACATTAAATCACTCCAGGCTGTGGAAAACATAGCCTTACGCACGGCCATTGCTTCGCCACAGTATAGAAAACAGTAAATTTAGTCCCCCTTTTTTGTGGACCACAACTCCACTGCTCTAATAGTCCAGTAAAGAGACGCGTGTGATCTATGCGCAATAGCAAGCCCAGCTTAGCTTTCAGCTTTTGAGATTGCCTTACTTGCGCGTGGTCTCTGCGCAGTCAACTTAAAGCGACATAAAAAATGAAACTACGGTCCATGTAAGCGAAGTAGCCTCGCAACAGGATATCATTCAAGGAAAGTTTGGTTGTGGTTAAGAGTACGTCTATAATAAACCACTTAAAGAAAAAAACACTCGATAAATACACTGACACGGTACTACACCAAGAAAACCAATAAAAATACTTAGTAGAACTAGAAAAAACCAATATTAAACAAAAGAAAAGAAAAATACTATAATGATGACAGTGATGATATATCAACAAGATCTCACCGGAGTATGAGGCTATTCTTTCCAAGCATGCACATAAGGAATAACACGGCAAATGTTAAATTTTTAATTTATTTATAAATATTTATAGGAATATTCTTGTATATCGTTTTTTGTAAGTTTTAAGCACATTAGTGTATCTATTTTACGAAACACGTGTTGGTTGTTCTTAAATACTTACTTAAATACAGTATTTTTACTGTACAAGTATGTATACCATTTCTTTTTGCCTTTAAAAATTGTTTAAATAATTACAGATTACCTTTAAAAAGAAGGCAGTAGCGATATCGTCAACAATGCAATAATCTTCTGAAATCGCCAAATTCGGGACATTTGATGTCCCGTTAGAGGACTAAGCAGGACTTGAAAAAATTACTAAACATATGTGTACAATGAAAATTGGGACAGTTGGCAACCCTGGCCTGGTCCATAATGGTAATGTCCATATCATTAGATATATAGGACAAGAGGATCCATTTAATTGTTGACATCACAGTTTTAGGGGAAGTTAGGTGGTGCCGCCTGGGGACATGTAATGTGTAATTAGATACATGAGTAAGTTTAAGTTACTCATATGATTAGACAGATCTGAGGGTGTCGATTACAATGCCGACAGCTTATAAACATCAAAATTTCTTTGCGTCAGCCCTTATTTTGCCTTATCTGATAACCAAGAGCCCATATTTCACTTGGAAGAAAATGAGAAGGAATTTATTTTGATATATTTAGGCCCAGTACTTTGAGTCGCCGTTAAAACTTGATTAACTGATTAGGCGATTAGACTACATATACTGATTTATTGTATAAAGTATAATCAGTCTAATCGCCTGATTAGGCAGGACAAAGAGGGATAGTCCGCTTGGTTCCAATCATTTAGGCTACCAATATCGCCAAAAATAATGGCGCAAGGCAAATTAAATTTAAGGTGTTGCCATTGCATTGTGCTGATGCACTGGAATGGAGAGTCTAGTAATGAAGTTGTGCTTACAACAAATTTCTCGTGCGTCTTTTTCATACTCTACTTACTTACATCAGTGTCGCCTTTACGTGCCCCAACAATTGGCTCACTTTTTTAGCATGGAGTCTTCACTCCTGGTCTACACTCTATAAACTAAGTAATCCAAAGTCTAAAATAAGTACATACTTTTTTGCAGGTACATACTAAAAATTGTTAATAAAAGGAAAATCAAATCTAAGTGCCAATCTGCAATATTTTAGGTATTATTTCTGTTGAATTTACCAATACAAAAATGAAACTATAATAGGAGCATATTCGATGCAAATTAGAGCATAAAATTGTCGGCCTTTTATCAAAGGAAAATCGTGTCATCATTTTTAGGACGCGTAAGATGAGCCATTTAAAATGAAATTGAATGCAAAATCTGAAATACCGCATCATACGCATTCTGTTCTAGTAGTAGCTGTAGTCGCCCAGGTGCATCGAGTGTACGAAGTGGTCGGTTATGTCAAATACTAACCTGGCAAGGTTGGTCGTAAATCAGAGACAGAGTCCAAAAAACAGGTAAACAACAGTGGCACGTACAGAGGTAAAATGTAGTACACATGTGGAATTTAAAAAACAAATTGGATTTATAATAAATTACATTTAAAATAAATAGTTTATGAGAATAAAGGAATTTTTGTAGGAACAGGGGTGCCAAACGTGAATAGATCTCTTCATCATGCATAAAGAAATTATTCAATTTCTAAACTCCTTAAAACTGTACTGCACTGGACAGGCAATGATTTACTACTTTGTGTGTTCATCTTTGATGCTTAAGAAATATTAAAAAATATTTAGAATAAACAATACAAAGGTGTAACATAAACACACTTGTATGACAGAATCGAATATACCACAACTCAGAGCAGATATAAAGGCTTATATATTTAACAGTATTTTTATTTCACCCGACCTATCCTAATTTCAATAGGTTATGAGCCCAGGTGTGTGTATAGAAGTGATTCTTAGTAGAACGAGAGTGCGGATCATCAAAAGAAAAAAGGGAATTCTGACAAACTCGAACCATTTAAGTGCAAACAATTTCAGTAAGACTGTTTCCGTTAAGCTATCATTAAAATAAAGAGACTTTAGTGCAACTAAACTAAAAGAGACATGGAAAATAAGAACTCTAAAGGAAATATCACTCGGTCTAATGGTGAACGTCGGTGCCTGGAAATTTCGTGAGAAACCCTCAACAGCAGATTGTAGACAGTACGATTGTTGAATATTTGGGAGATTCTTAAGTTGCACAAGTTCACGAAACCGCTAAATAATACATTGCAAAATTAGATACTGTTTACAAGACTCGTAGTTTACCCACACAGCTAGACTTAAGAAAACAATTCACTCGTTTCGACGACATTATCACCGAGTTGATAGAGTTGGTGCAATACTGGATGGAAAGGACGGAATTTAAATTATTTTTATATGTGGTGGTGGTGGTGTACTAAAAGAAAACACAAAAAATACATGAGAAGTTTTTAGTGATTTTTATTTTCATAATTAACATACATAGTGCAAAATAAATGTATTATTGTTGACTTCATTTGACACATGTATGGTAATATATTAATAAAACAGCTTTATTTGCAAAACCAAAAATCTGTTCATTAAATTATTGTAGCGTTAATAAATACAATGATTTGCTAAAAACGGTAAATATATTATGGTTTTTACTTCAGACATTCTGCTAAGTACTTATTGGTTAATATCAATTCATCTGGGCAAATTTTCAAATATTTTTCATTCTTACAAAATAATGCACTATTTTGAGGTTATGTTTTCATTCAAATATATACACAACATTAAAACCAGGTATTTATATATAATTATGTACAAAATATATATTTTCATAAAATGCACAAAGTTTGCAAAATATTTTTATTATGACAAATTATAATACTCAACGAATATTATATCGAAAAATTAATACCGAATTGAGATTAAAACAATGTTTTAATATTTTCGTACTTTTCGGACTTTTCCCCCCACAAATCTGAAGAAAAAAGATGTACGAATTATGGGAAATTTTAACTATTTCCAAAACCTTGCTTCAAATTTAAAAAGAAATATCAGTTTTCAATTAATAAAAAGATATCCTGTAATGTAACCAAAATGATAAAAAAAGTAAATGAACAAAAACTCACTTTTTAAGCTATTTTCCCCACACGTTGGGCTAAATTACAGGATGCCGAAGCTATTAAAAAAATATATATATCCGGAAATAACCCTGCATTAAACAAAGGAAAGGAACAAAAAATATTTATACAATTGTGTACTATATAAATAACTACACAATAAAAAGTATTAACTTTTCAATTCATTTGTTAAACAGTTAAGATAATACACAGTCTAATAAAAATATAGTCTCAAAACGGCCACTCGGCAACAAAAAAAAATTGCGTATAAATAATTATTTATGAAATAATTATCAACCAAATCGGAAAACACATTCAAGCTTTAATGATTTTATGTACTTTACCAGCATAATTAATTTAAAAGAACTATCTCCGAATAAATAAATGATGCAACGTGAACAAATTTTTATTATTATTTATTTATGGATTCGTCAGGCAAGGGACGATAAATTACGTCTGAAATTCTATAGCAATTATAAGATAAACGGCACAGCTTCAGATCTTCATGTCGTTTTCTAGAAAATTAAAAAATTAAGGACTGCATGTTAGAAACAAATGAGAATTAATCTTGAACGCCAATCTGAAATTGTTCTTTCAGACAATTAAACTATACCTAACTTTCCCTCATATATACATTTTAAATGTACGACTTTTTAGAAAATAGTATCAGATGGCTGTTGTTAGAGTATGCAGATTGTGTACGAAATCGTAAGATTTTAATAAGTTAAATTTTGTGTCTAGGTCTCAATTACATGCGTTATGCATCAAAAAGAGTTGACGGAAATCAGATAGTACTATTTTCTTAAATTTAAAAACAATTGTTAGTAACTAATTTTGAAGATATATCTCAGATCGTAGTTCCTGAAAATCTGTGCCATCTTTACCAAAACTTATGTTAGATACTTAAAGATTAAATAGGTTAGGTTACTCACACAGTATTACTGTTTAGCCTCAAGTGTTAATCAGAATATGTTGTTAAAGAAACTAACATATACAATGGGGAAATTGAAAAACAGAAGCTATCCTAATGAAAGAAATGTAGAACTTAAGATGACGATAAAACAGACCATTTTTTTTGGGAAGCTAAGTATCTAGGAATTATTTTAGATACCTGAAGCACTGGATATAAAAAAACAGCAATGGAGACAGTTATATAGTAATCAGTCTACAGTCTAAGGGGACCCAGCAAGACAAAGAGAAGGATACTGTGTTCAGTAACATACGTAGTGTGACTATACGGCACTTCAGTATGGGCAGAAACAATGCATGTCGCTACATATAGAGACGTCCTACAATGGGTTCAAAGAAAAATGGTCTTTAGGATATCCAGAGCGTACTGGATTGTTTCTTTCAAAGCAGTGATGGTATTAGCTAGGATTACGCTGATTGATTTAGTAATAATCAAAAGGGAAAAACACACACAAATGCCAAAAACACTGCCAAAAAGAAACAAATTAGGACACAAATGATTAAATAACAACATGAAACCTGAAAAATGGAATTAATGGATAAATGGGTTTCCATCTGTTGTCAAGGGATCATTCAGAACCTACAGGTATAAGATCCATGAAGCGTTAGTTTAAATTGAAACGTTTTTGAGATTTCTGTTATTTCCCAAAAAAATTGGAAAAAAGTATTTTGATGAGACGACTTTTATTTTTGGGAAAAATTGAATAGGAAAAGCTGCTTCTCGATATATTAATTCGTTTATGAGATGCAGTGATTTTCTATTTTGATCGTTTCCTGTGATGCTTTATAACTTTATTGCTTATAAAAATATTAGATTTTTGTAAAAAGGTTTCTTACGTAATATATTTACACTTTATTAAACGGTACAACCATATATTTTCAACATTAGAAATCTATGTAAAATTTCTTTAAATGATGTTTCATATATGATTTTTCTCAAAATATTTTTTTTTCAAGGTATAAACACCAGAACTGTTTGTAATTAATTGTTTCTTGATACCATTCACTTTTTGTTAAACGATTTTTCATCGATTAATTGTATCAAGAAACAGTTGAATAACCAAAAAAAAAACCTAATAATTTTGACGTTTACTCCTTGAAAAAAATTTTTCATATAAATATTATATTATACATTTAAATACATCATTTTAAGCAGGTTTCAAACATCAAAAAGTTCATAATATGGCGTTCCATTAAAAATGATATTTTACAGAAAAATATTGCATACCCTGCTGTATTTTGCTTAAAAAGCTGTGTAAAAAACCTCTTCACAAAAATCTAACATTTTCACAAACAAGAAGATAGGGCATCATAGAAAAAGATGAACATTGAAAAACATCTTATATTACCGAAACGAATCAAGATGTAGTTTTCTCAAAAATCGGGCCTTTGACATCTAAAATTTTTTCTATCTGTTCGGGAAATAGCATCTAATTTGACCCATCCTGTACATACTTTTTTAATGCATGGATTGAGCCAATAACAGAAACAACTTGAACAGAACTTTGGGAAGGAACACAATAGTAAAACACCTAATAAATATAATTTTCGAATTCTCCTAAAACTGAAACACACTGGGATATACTAAAAGGTGTACAACTTTGCTTCCGCCATTTTTCAATAGATGGTTGTAGCGGTTAGTGGTGGTGGAAATATATAAATAGACATCATATAATAAGCTTAGGCTTTTCTCAATACAACCTCACGGAAACATTTGTCGAATTGTGTCTGCAATCGTAGTTATTCTCGATTGAAAATGTTACTGTACGAGCCAAATCTGCTGCTGAGCCTCATAGAATGCTCTCAAGTACTTATGGCTAAACCGCTGCTATTATGAAAGAACGTGCCGTGGGCGTTTTCAATGTTTCAAGAACGGTGATATTGACATCGAAGATCAGCATGGCGATGGAAGAGAGAATGTTTTCAAAGATGCAGAATTGGAGGCATTACTCCATGAAGACTTGTCTCAAACACAAGAAGAATTAGTAGGATCGTTAGGAGTGACTCAAAGCCATGGGAATGATTCAGAAACAAGGAAATTGGGTGTCGTACAAGTTGAAGCCGACAGATGTTGAACGGCATTTGTTTGCTTGTGAACAGCCTGAAAGGCAAAGAGGGAATGGATTTCTGTATCGCATTGTGACTGGGGAGGAAAAATGTGTTCGTTACGATAATCCCAAACGTAGAAAATCATGGGGACTTCCCGGCCATGCTTCCATGTCAAAGGCCAAACTGAATATTTAGAGCTCCAAGGTGACGTTCTGTATTTGGTGGATCCAGCTCGGCGTAGTGTATTATGAGCTGCTAAAACGAAAGAAACACTCACAGGCAATCTGTACTGAAAGCAATTAATGCGTTTAAGCGGAACATTGAAAGACAAACAGCCACAATACAAGGAGAAGCACGATAAAGTGATTTTGTGGCATGGCAATGCTCGACCCCCTGTCGCAAAGTCGGTCAAAACATACTTAGAAGCTATGAAATGGGAAGTCCTACCCCACTAGCTGTATTCTACAGACATTGCTCCCTCTATCACTTGTTTCGGATAATGGCACACGGCCTGGCTTACGTTGTTATGAAGAAATAAAAAATTGGATCGATACGTGGATCGCCTCAAAAGATGAGCAGTTTCTTCTACGTGGGATTTGTACGCTATCCGAAAGATGGGAGAAAGCAGCGATGGACAATATTTTGAATAGTAAATGTTTTTTACAATAAAGCCTCGAATTTCAGAAAGAAACGGTGGAAGCAAAGTTGTATACCTTTTTGTATTACTATAATGTGGAAAACAAAGCAGATGCAGGGTCAGGAAGGAGAAACTGAAGTATGTACACAATAATTGTTAATTGTGCAACAGTTTTGGCAATCGAAAGTTGTTGTGGAGTTTAACAGTTCTTGGTGTGATAGACTCTATCCATTGAGAATCATGAAAGAAAGGGAAAATTATGGAAATCAGAAGCTGTGCCATTCTTCCATGTATTTATTAAATCCACAAATTATACTGACGTATCACTTTCCCGATAATCAGTTTAAAATTTTAATATTTTGTTAAATGTAGCATGGAAAACTAATATTGCATAAATAAATTATACAAAGGAAGCAACAACATTTATTTACACTTTTATACTAGTGATGTCCAACTAGTTCATACTAGATTCACCATTTACACTGAATCTATGTTTAACGTGGACAGATCGCAGTTTTATTGAACTTGGTTTTTCTTTATGCCTCAATCAATCCGAAACATTTTTAACAAACATTGTTGCGATTTATCGATGTAAATTAATTATGCTGTACAGTTTTTCTTACATTGCGAGTTTAATATAAAAAGAAAAATGGTACAAACTACCATCATGTTCATATTATAAAAGATTTCCACAAATCAAATGAAAAATTACTTCTATACAACAAAATACACAAAGTCAGTCTAGATATGTACATTAGTTCGTCCACTGAATTATATAATAGTCTTGTTTTTTTCATTTTATATTTTTTAGCCCACTTAGTAATTCACATTGAAATGTTTGTTCCTTTATACATCTCGTTGTGTGTCTCAAAATCACCTCTATAAATATAAAACACACTTTTTGCAATGACGAAACATACCAATTGCACTTCTTCACCCCCATTAAAACAAGAACTATTCAAGGTTTTAATCACTTTCTATTTATACTCTATATTATTCAATTTGTTACACTTACAAGTCTAGTCGAATCATAATTAAACAATTGAAATAACAATCAGAACCTAACCTTAAATAAACCAACTAAATTCCGTTCATATAAATTAAACGCAAACAATTCCTAAATCGCGGACCTACACGACCTGTTACAAACTAGGATCTTCGTAACAAGCTCATCGCCATTGCAAGTAACTAAACAAAACTTCATTTACAAAAACAGCTTAAAAAATGCTCGGAAACTTAACAAAATCACATTTACAAACTATATTGAACTGTGTCTCTTCCTTCTAACGTTTGTAACTGACAGCAGAAGAGAAACGATTGCCAAGGTAAAGAATTCTATTAAATTATGTACGACATAATTTAGCCAATCGAAAAGGAATGTTTCTTGTTAATAACGATAAATTAATTTGGTGTCATATTCCGACAAGTCCCTGTTAATATGTTACATTTTTATACAAACATTATTGTGGGAAATTTTAGATAGATACTCTCAAAATATCGAGCACTGGTAGGATCACTAGAATAAAAACAATAACTGGCTGTCGAATTCATTTTCCACAGCGAAGACACATACTAATATTTCAATTTTTTTTTGTCTTTTAAGCCACACATTTATCACTACTAGTGATACTTTCATTTACATATGAATTGTTAAATTTTATGAATGTACCAATGGAACTTTTGTAACCGTTGTCAAAATCGTGTTCCTAAAACGGCACCATTTGTGTCACTATATATAACTACACTATAATGTCAAAATTTTGTCACTTGCTCTTTTATTTGACACAACGTCAGTTTCTTTGCCCAAACAGTTTTGTACAAAAAAATAACACACTTAACAGAAATAACGCCTTGTCAATTTGTTCTCTAGCATTTAAGCTAAATCGCCTTCCAATCGAGGAACCGACTGCCATTATATTACATAACTATTCTTTAACTTAGCAATCCGCGTTACAAAAAAAACCTAAAACATTACAAAACCTCACTAGTTACAAGGTTGTGTTGTTAAGCTAAGACGTTTCCTCATTTTTTCAGCCGGGCAGGCGGATCTTTGGACGCGCTACCCCTTCTAGGCAGGCCGACCTGCCCCGCTGTCGAGCTGGGGGGCGCCATTGCCACTCCGGAGGCGCTTCCAGAACAAACAAAAATCACACATAGGTTTCGCAGTTGTCAGGGGGGTGATTTTTTTTATTGGTGAGGTGTGGTGGTTGTGGTGAGATGAGCATGGTCGGTGAATGAATTGATGAATAAACAGAACGGAAAAAAAAAAGAAAACAAAAGTCGATCAGTTAAACGTGCCAATTGGAAAAAATACAAATGTGATTGGATGGCGCAAATTGATTCTACACTGTCACCAATAAATTTGATTTTGACCAATCGCTCTTACTTCAAACGATGTGCTCAAAATCAATTACGTGAGTTTTCTGTATTTGCAATTCTTTCAAAAAAATGCTGGGAACAGTTATTTTTGTAAATTTAAAAATTAGTCCAGTCATTCTAGACATCAAACAGCCTGTTTCGGGAGAAAAATACTATTAGAAGTTTCTCTGCGGAATATTGTTCAGAAACGTGTTATAAACAAAATATCAAAAAATCAACTCAAGGCTAGTTGGGAAAATTTGTTTAAACAATGGTCAAAGTTATGGAAAAGTGGATTTTTGACTCGTGTAAAAAAACTATTCATAGCGAAAAAAGTTTATACAACAAAGCTAGGTATTAAATAAGCCTATAAAATGAGACAAGTCCAATGCGCTCTTGCGCATAAACAAATTATCGGAATTTAATCGGACTTGTCTCATTTTACAGATTTATTTAATACCTACCTTTTTTGTATAAACCTTTTTTCTCTATGAATAACAGTTTTTTTACAAGAGTCAAAAAATCACTTTTCCATAACTTTGACCATTGTTTTAATTTTAACAAAGTTTCCCAACTAGTCTCGAGTTGATTTTCTGATATTTTGTTTATAAGATGTTTCCGAACAATATTCCGTAGAGAAATTTCTAATAGTATTTTTTCCCGAAAAAAGCTATAATGACTGGCCTAACTGCTATAGGAAAGTTGTATATCATTCAATTTTCTACACTCTAACGAAATTTTAATTTTGTTTACATATTTGTAACACATTTTTAATTTAACAGTACAAAATTATTCATTCTTACTACCATCATTGTTTAAATGCACTTTTTAAATAGAATTAAAAAAACTTGTTAGAGACCTAGGTATCCAACGCCAATGTTTTGCCAAGGGAGTTATGGCATCCATAAATCGGCAACTGCTTGCGGGCGCATCATATAGTGTCAGTGATTGATTCAATATATGACAGCGTAGTAGGCCTTGGTCTTTTTACAAATTCTTAAATTGTCGACTAATAACATTTTTATATAAAGAATAAATCCCGTTGTTCTTTTAAAAAGAAACATCTCTAAGAAAATATATAAAATATGTAAATAAAAACTCATTAAATATGATGCAAAATACTTACAGGGTGTTTGGTAAGTCGATGCATTCCTTGCAGGAGGTTGTAGTACAAGTGATTTGTAATATATTTCCTATACCATATTCCCAAAAAACGCTCAATTTCTGATCTACAGGGTGTTACAGTTTTAATAAAAAAATGCAAATTTATAAATATTGCGGAAACCACTCAGAATATTTTAATGAAATTTTGCAGGTTTTGACAGTTAACAACAATACATGTTTTACAATACAAATATTGTTTACTATTTCACCAGTGGCGTGAGTGGATATTTTTAGAGAAAAAAATGATATGCCACTGATTTTTCTTAAAATAAAAATTATTTTTGAATTCCTTGTTCCTATGCGCACGCCACTGGTGAAACGGAAAACAATATTTTTTTCGTAAAACATATATTGTTGTTAAGATTGTAAAATTTCATTAAAATATTCTGAGCGGTTTCTGCAATATTTATAAATTTGCATTTTTTTATTAAAACTTTAACACCCTGTAGATCAGAAACTAAGCGTTTTCGGAAAATGGTATATTAAAGAAATATATTACAAATCATTTGTACTATAACTTCCTGCAAAGAAAGCAATGACTTACCAAACACCCTGTATATGCAATTTCAACAATCTATTCCAAAACCCTCTCTATTGTTATTTTTTATTCCNAAAAAATCAACTCGAGGCTAGTTGGGAAACTTTGTTTAAACAATGGTCAAAGTTATGGAAAAGTGGTTTTTTGACTCGTGTAAAATAACTATTCATAGCGAAAAAAAGTTTATACAACAAAGGTAGGTATTAAATAAGCCTATAAAATGAGACAAGTCCAATACGCTCTTGTGCATAAACAAATTATCGGAATTTAATCTTAAACCTTTTTTCTCTATGAATGACAGTTTTTTTACAAGAGTCAAAAAATCACTTTTCCATAACTTTGACCATTGTTTTAATTTTAACAAAGTTTCTCAGCTAGTCTCGAGTTGATTTTCTGATATTTTGTTTCCGAACAATATTCCGTAGAGAAACTTCTAATAGTATTTTTTCCCGAAAACTGGTCTAAATGCTATAGGAAAGTTGTTATATTTTTCAATTTTCTACACTCTAACGAAGTTTTAATTTTTTTTATATATTTGTAACACATTTTTAATACAGTACAAAATTATTCATTCTTACTACCATTATTGTTTAAATAAGTGTTTGCTCTTTTTAAAAATATTTTTAAAAAATTGTTAGAGACCTAGGTACCCAACGCCAATGTTTTGCCAAGAGAGTTATGGCATCCATAAATCGGCAACTGCTTGCGGGCGCATCATATAGTGTCAGTGATAGATTCAATATATGACAGCGTAGTAGGCCTTGGTCTTTTTAGAAATTCTTAAATTGTCGTCTAATAACACTTTTATATAAAGGATAAATCCAGTTGTTCTTTTAAAAAGAAACATCTCTCATAAAATGTATAAAATATGTAAATAAAAACTCATTAAATATGATGCAAAATACATACCGGGTGTTTGGTAAGTCGATGCATTCCTTGCAGGAGGTTATAGTACAAGTGATTTGTGATATATTTCCTATACCATATTCCCAAAACGCTTAGTTTCTGATCTACAGAGAGTTATAGTTTTAATAAAAAAATGCAAATTTATAAATATTGCGGAAACCACTTAGAATATGTTAATGAAATTTTGCAGGTTTTGACAGTTAACAACAATACATGTTTTACGATACAAATATTGTTTTCTATTTCACCAGTGGCGTGAGTGGATATTTTTAAAGAAAAAAATGATACGCCACTGATTTTTCTTAAAATAAAAATTATTTTTGAATTCCTTGTTCAATTTGGAAGAGAAAAGGTATAATAATATTCAGCGACACATTTTCCAGTAGTGGTGGCAGGTGATTAACCCTTTCGCTGCGCAATACGTCTGAACGTAGCTACCGCGCCGTGCGCAATTGTTTATCGTGTGCGAATATATACGTCTGGAGCAGTTAGACCACTTATAGTTTTACATTATGTTGTGTTAAATTACGATTTACGATAAATTTTACGATTTTATTTTGAATAAAATACAGTATATGTACTAAATAGAAACTGAAAGAAACATGAACAATCTTGGTACTATTACCAGTACCTCTTTCCATAAAAATATTTGTCACAATCGGTATAAGCTCGCCCGCAAAAATTCGCCTTACCAATTGCAATAACCGAGTCACTATGCGCACGGTTGCGAATATATACGGTTTGAGCAGCCTGATCCAATTTAACTATTCATGCGAATTAATCCGTCTGGAGCAGTTTGAGCCCTATAAATTTTTAGCGAATATATACGTCTGGAGCAGTGAAAGGGTTAATAAGGAAGTCTTCGTATCTTTCTCCATTTAAAATGTCCGGCATAAAATGATTGAATGACTAACTGATTGTTTATTATTATTATTACACCACACCAAACTTTAACAGTGAACTGTGTTTGATAATTAGTTTGACATTAGGCGTGGATTTTCCTCTGCCCAGTAATGAGCATTATGGTAGTTGGTAATCCCTTGATTAAATTTGGATTTATCGGTGCACAAAATTCTTCTGAGAAAAGTTGGATCTTCCATATCAGTGTTTAACATAAATCTGCAGAAGTTCATTCTTCTCAAAGGATCCTCTTCAAGCAACTCTTGAACCAGTGTATAATGATACGGATGTTGTTCCTCTTTGTTCAACGTCGTCCAAATTTTTCATTGCAATACCCTAAGACGCCTAGCAACAACGCGTACGCTTGTCATCGGATCTTCCTGAAAAGCCCTAAGAATGGCTTCTTAGTCATTAGGGCTGTAACGTGTAGCAGCTCCTACGTGAATTTGCTTGTGGTGTACAGTTCCTGATTCACTGACTATTCGATAGGTGTTTGCAAAGACACGGATATTTGGAAGTCGCCTGTTTAGAAAGTGACGCCGATATATTAATAAAATTGGTACAAAAAAACCTAAATGCATAATTTCTGGTATTTTTCAAATTATTGAAATTGGATTACGCAATGCAGTAAACAGTTGAGATACCTTTTCTCTTCCAAATTGAACAAGGAATTCAAAAATAATTTTTATTTTACGAAAATCAGTGGCATATCATTTTTTTCTTTAAAAATATCCAAAGACGTGCCTATGCGTACGCCACTGGTTAAACTGAAAACAATATTTTTATCGTAAAACATGTATTGTTGTGAACTGTCAAAGCCTGTAAAATTTCATTAAAATATTCTGAGCGGTTTCCGCAGTATTTATAAATTTGCATTTTTTTATTAAAACTTTTAACACCCTGTAGATCGGAAACTAAGCGTTTTCGGAATATGGTATATTAAAAAAAACAAATCACTTGTACTATTATAACCTCCTGCAAGGAAGGAATCGACTTACCAAACACCCTGTATATGCAATTTCAACAATCTATTCCAAAACCCTCTTTATTATTATTTTTTATTCAGTTAACAGAAAGCTAAGTCATATTATTAAAAAAAAAACATATTTTTATTGATTCAAATAAAAAACAAAGGACCTGAAAACTTTTTTTTTAATTTTTGTCTACAATCATTAAGTTTTTTTACTTGACACATTGACATTGACATTTATTGAGGACTGTTACTGTATCATTTGCCACACAATAAAATCTAAAAAATGCTTATTGTTAATATCAATCAACAAATAAGTATCATTTCAATTAGTAAAAGATGTACAAGATTTAAATATTTATAGAAAAAATTTTATATGCATTACGTGCAAAAAGCGACATCAATTTCCAATGCTACATTTTAGTTTTTAGTAAAAAAAATAAATAATCTAATTAGTTTTTCTTTTAAACGACACTTAAACTCTTGTCTACACCGTCCCTGGGCAGTTCCCAAACTGGATTGTATGTGAACGGTTATAAATATTGTTTTATTATTATTTTATTAAACCAACTGTATGAAACAAAGTGGCACAAAACTGCAATAAAAATTCTAAATAGTTTTGCAAAAATAGATGATAGTAGTGATTATTATCACTTAAAAATAGGTAACTTAAGAGGAATGTGAATGTCCCACTTTTGGTCATTTGGTCATTTCGAAATTTCAAAAATATATTTCTTTGAACTTGTCATTTGTTAAGCATCTCACACATTTCTTACCAGATTTTATACTTTATAATATAATAACTGCCTTCGCATTCTGGTTGCATGTCCTACACACCAGATTTTAGTCCACTTGAAAATTTTTAATGTAACTCAACTTAACAAAGAAAATAATTACTGACTAATATAGATAATGATTTTAATGGAATTATTGAAACATAGGGAAAAATTGATCACTTTAAATATTTGCTAGTCATTTTTGATAAGTGACAACCAACACTATTTTAAAGTTACAGTGTTTTTTTGTCACTGGAGATGAATGTTTTTTAAAATTAATAATTTTTGCACGATTTATTAGGGGACAGGTACACATTACCAATTTAAGTAAAAATAATGTACGTTTTAAAATTATTATGTTCTTAATACTTAACAAAAAAAATAATAGTAATCTAATCTATTGACTTAATAAAAAAATCAAAAGAAAGTGGATTTTGGAATAAATGGTTGTCGAAATTGTACATTTTAGTTCTAGTTTTTAGTTTACGATGACAATGGTAGAAATGAATAATTTTATAAGTTTGCTTAAAAAATGTAGAGCTGAAAATTGATAAATGAGCTTAAAATTAAAAAATAAACTTTCATCTCTTGACGTGTTTGATATTTTGAGATATATTTCCAACATTTTTTGAAAAATTGTTTTTTAAGTAAATACGATTGACAAAATAAAATGTTTTAAAAACTGACTTAAATCATTTTTACATGTATGTACTTTATTGGTGACACTATAAGAGTATATACAGGGTGTTTGTAAATATGTGCAAAATATTTAAGGGAGTGGTTGCCGAAGTTATTTTGTGAAAAAAAGTTCATATTCAGATTCAAAGCATTTTTCAAATTTTGAGTCAATATCTTTAAAACTGAAATAATTAATAAAAATAAATAAAAAATTAAAATTTAAATACTCTTTTTCACAAATTAACTTGGACAACCACCCCCTAAAATATTTCGCACTTATTTACAAACGCCCTGTATAAAAGTGATCAAGAAAAAATTAACTATCAAAATATATTTTTTAAAACAAATTTATCGATTTTTATACCAGACAGTATCCTTTTCCTTTTTTAAACTCCCTGTATACAAAAAAAAATAACAGTTTAATTTTAGATGATCTTGCAGTTATGACGAATAAGATTTTTTCTCTTCTACCATTTAATGGGAAAATAATCTTATGAAACATGATAATTGATATCTATGCTAAAATAATAAAGTTGTAACTCACTTTGCTTGTTTGGAGGTGCTTAAATCTGATGTTGAAGCGTTTGGAGCTCCTTGGCCAGCCCTTAGTCTCATCGACACTCTTCTTTCGTGGCTGTCATACATTCTAGGAGAATCTGAAAGAAAAACATGAGTTACTAATTCCATAATATTTTTTATTTTACGGTTCAACGGTTCTTGAAATATCGAGGTTTGAATTTGCCAAATCGTATGGGTAGTTGATAAAGAGTAAAGAGTACTTTCTTATTTTTTGCATCATTTGTGCCTTTAATTTATTCAAATGAAGAATACGTGGAGATGATTTTCGTGACGGTCCTACCACCGCCTCAGTTAGAGATATCAACAACGATATCTAAACTGCTGTCTTCTAAACAAACATTCAATAGAACCTTCACAACTCTTCGCTTAATAGGTGCGTTTCCTAAACAATGCTGCAGAAGTGCTTTAATTTGTTGAAAATGATCTTGGTACTAGTTCGAGAAGAATTTCTGTACTGGCTGGACAAAGTAGGAAGGCTGTACAGTGCAAGACATTTTGCGAGAAAACGGACTGCAACCCTATCATTACCAACTGGTACAAGAACATCTCCCCGCGGATTTTCCCCGAGGAGTTTGTCTTTGTGAATGGTGGAACAATCATCTGGACCCTCTTTCAAGAATTATTTTCTGTGACAAAGCTACATTTACAAGAGATGGAATGAACAATTTCCGCAACGATCATGTGTGGGCAATCGAATACTATTCGAGAAACCCATTTTCAGAGAAGATTCTCCGTAAACATTTGAGCTGAAATAATTAATAATGAAGTTATCGGACCATATTTTTGGAGAACAATCTACTACTTGAAGACATTCCTCTTCAAATCAGAAGGACGATGTTCTTTTTAGATGATGGTGCTCCGTACCAATTATGGAAGAGGTGTCACTAATTTAGTCACTGAATAGTATCCAAATCGATGGATAGGTCGTGGTGGTCCCATTGCTTGGCCACCGTGATCTCCGGATCTCAACCCGTTGGACTTTTTCATGTGGAGAGATGTGAAGACATTTACCTATTTAATAGGAAAGCCTAATAGCACAGACCAACTCATTGAGAAGATTCATACAGCATTTGACGAGGTGAAAAACGATATGGAGAACTACAACTGAGAATGAAAGCTTTGACAGAGGGTTGAGTCATGCATTACACAAGGTAGTAGTCACATTGAGCAGCTTTAATAATTATACTGTCACTGGGCTTTTATTAAAATAAACCACATTTTTTTCTAAACTTTCTAGTCACAACAATGTAATTTGCTTAAAATTAATAATAGAATTCATACCGGTCTGGCCAGGTAATTCTTTCGCATAGACTAAGTAAATTACATGCATCTCTCCTATCAACTTCGGGTGGAAGGGCTCGGACATGACATATATCATTGAGGCTCCGACTCGGACTCTCGTAATTGGTTGGCTGTGGGAGCGCATGTGCCCCGTTGCATTTTTTGTGAACCGACCGAATACCTAAAGCGCTTTGCTGTTTGTTTAGTTTTATTTTTTTATTATTCCACTCAAACCTTTGGTAAGAGGTAGACGGAATATTACAAAATAAAAATGGCGTACAGTGTCGAACAACAAATTAATATTATTAAATGGTATTGTCATGCAGAAAGTGCAAAGGAAGTCGTTGGTTCATTTATATTTTCATACCCCGACAAACCAGTCCCCACTGCTAGAACTGTTTTGAATATTTTTCATAAGTTTGAGGAGTGTGGATGTGTTAACTGGTGTACGAAATGTAGCAATCAGGAACCTCGTCAAATTCCTGAAGCAAGGAAAGAAAAAGAGGTTAATGTCTGTGCTTTTGTGGAAGTAAGTGAGCCGTGTTCTTCCTCCCAAATTTCCGAAGAACTTGACATTCCAAGTCCTACAGTTCATTGCATCTTAAAAAAGAATGGTTGCAAAGCCTATAAAATGCAAACTTCTCAAGAAATTATTCCTGGTGATTAAATAAGACGTATGGAGTTTTGTGAATCCATTAAGGAGAAATTAGATGAAAATAATGAATTTGCTAGGCAGATTTTATTTACAGACAAATCATTTTTTCCCCACTTGGCCGACATAATCCTTCAGTGGTCCAATATTGGTCCCGGGAAAACAAGCATTTAAGTATACCATTAAGAATGCAGTACCCTCAAAAAGGTAAATGTTTGGGTTGGCATTTTAGAGGATAATATTGTGGTTCCCTTTTTTACTGATGGTAACTTAATTGCTGAGAGATATTTGCATTTATTACCAAATAGTGTTGTACCAGCTGTACGAAGGATGTAAATTTTGAGGAAATTTGGTTTCAGCAAGATAGATGTCCTGCACACAACGCAAGGCCAGTCCAAGATTATTTGGAACAAACTTTTCCTGAAAGGCTTATTTCCACAAGAGGCATCATACCTTGGCCTCCTCGATCTCCAGATCTGACAACCTGCGACTTCTTTTTATGGAGTCATTTAAAGCAACTTCTCTACAAACATCGACATGAAAGAGCCGCAACTTTGGACGAATTACGGCTTAAAATTAGAAACATTTTAGAAATTTTGTCAAATGTTCGTCAAGAATTTTACGACAGATTAGGGTATTGTGAAGCTCAAGCAGGTGGTTTGTTTGAATACCTTACTAATTAATAATAAGCTTTATTAAATAAGCATTTGAAAATAATTCATTATTTTGCTTAAGAATTACCATTCATTTTATTTTAGAATACCGTTTTAGTTTTTACTAAAGGTTATAAATAATTTGTAATAAAGTTGGAAAGCTATAGTATGGCCTCAAAACCTTTTATCATTCTTGTAAAAAATATCGTGCAGATAGGGTAATTACTGTACGTATGGCAACACTGCTGTCAATTCCAGGCCATGGCTTATACTCTTTATACCATCGCAATAAATCAAAAACGTAATTATTGTCCAGTATTCTATCTTTCGCACTTTGTGCACTTCTTATGGCGTTTTTTTATTCCCTTACATCGATGGCATAAAGTTATACAAATGATATGGGGGCAGAGTCAGAATTATTAGGCGAGACTGGTGAAATATTTATATAATGTACTAACTTTGTATCGGAAATAAAAATATGACCATACCTGTACATGAAGTATTTCGGATACTTCGGCGGCCACTCTGTATATGTTGCTGAATTCCACAAATTTAGTTACGCAGTTAGTATCTGTGGTTTCTTAGACAGTTTGAAAAAACCGTCACTGCAAATCGTTGAAGTTAATTGATGTTGGTACAGGGTGATTCACTATATTTTGACCCCCCTTTAACTTTTTTGTTTTAAGAATTATAAAAAAATGTGAAATATAAAAGTTGCACGATTTTTTATAAATTTTTCGAAAATGATAGTAGAAAAACAAATGAAGCCCAAACAAAATGGCCGCGGATGTTAACTTTGTTAAGTTAAATGGAACACCCTATATACTTTTACATATTTTGATAGAACGTTCCCTGTAGAGCATAGCCATATAGGGTTTGTTGGGTCCATCGCTAACAATAAGTGAGATACTATTAAAAAACAAAAAGAAGGTTTTTTTATTAAGAAAATAAGACATATATATTGTAATTGTTAAACCTTTTTCAGACATTTCTGCCTTTTTCCAATTACGCAAGGATTTACAAATTTAGTTATAATATATTTTGACAGATCGGACATTGATATGGTCCAAAATGCGTATAGGTATTGTAACTAAATCTCACCAATTAGGTCGTGAGAGGCCTAATTACTCGTGGACAATGTTATATGATAGGTCGTGACAGTGACAGTTAATGTCTTGACAACATTGTTATTGTTTGACAGTTTGTATTATTATTTAATTAAAATGGGTTACACAGAAGTAGAAAATTGAAATATTATATGAATTAAAATAGAGCAAAGTTCTTCTACATACTCTATTTTAATTCTAAATAATTTTCTACTTCTGTGTAACCTATTTTAATTAAATAATAATACATACTGTCAATCGATAACAATATTGTCAAGACATTACTGCCTGTCACTGTCATGACCTACCATATAATGTCCATGAGTAATTAGACCTCTCACGGCCTAATTAGTGAGATTTCGTTACATTACCTATACACATTTTGGACCGTATCAATGTCCGATCTGTCAAAATATATTACAACTAAATCTGTAAATCCTTACGTAATTGGAAAAAAGGCAGAAATGCCTGAAAGAGGTCTAACAATTACAAGATGTCTTATTTTCTTAATAAAAAACCTTCTTTTCGTTTTTTAAAAGTATCTTGCTTATTGTTAGAGATGGACCCAACAAACCCTATACAGGGTCGGAAAGTACCGATGGTCCATCTGCCGTTACGTGAGAGCAGAGAAAGATGGCTATAATGAAGGTGTCTAATAGTCACCGCCCATTTCGGGCGTTCCATTTAACTTAGCAAAGTTAACATCCGCGGCCATTTTGTTTGGACTTCATTTGTTTTTCTGCTCTCATTTTCGAAAAATTCATAGAAAATCGTGCAACTTTTATATTTAACATTTTTTTTATAACTCTTAAAACAAAAAACTTAAAGGGGGGTCAAAATATAGTGAATCACCCTGTACATTAAAATAAAAATCAATCACAAAATTCACATTTTCACCAGAAAATATAGAAAATAGAAAATAAAAAAATTCGAATTTCGCAAAACATCTCAAGAACTGAAAAAATATCTCTACGATCTGTTTACGCCATTTCAGTAGCGTAACTTTGTTTTAATTTTAGATATCCTGTATTTGTGACCGTTTTCGGTCGACAAAGACATCTTTACCTTGGAAACAGTGTAAATTTTAAACAGTGCTAAAAGCTGGTCACTTACTACTTGTAATAACGTCATCTATTGCATTTGCTGCCGGAGTGTTGCCCGGTACCATGTCCATTCGGCTATCGTGGAGTCTCCTCGTTCTAGACTGTGGCACTGTAGGCGTGGAATCCGCAGGAGTTGCAGCGTGAGATCCGTATCTGGCGCCCGACCGCCCACTATTTTCTTCACAGTGACTACTTCTGGAACCTCCTGGAGTAACATTTGTTAATTATTATAATATATATAATTATAAACGTAAAATTTGTAATAAAACTTACCAAATTTGAGCATATTCCAGTCGAATACATAATCATATGTAAAACCTTGTCTATGGAATAATGTTCTGAACAATTGTCGCAAGTAACTATAGTCTGGCCTCTCTTCGAACCTTAGCTGTCGGCAATAATTTAAATACGTTGGAAATTCTACTGGGTACCCCTAAAATAAATAATATTTCCATATTTTCAGATGTTCACTGTTGGATTGGTCAAATAATGGTAGAAATCAAAAAAAAAAAACTGGGGAAAATGAAAATATACATAAATATTTTTTTGTCTAAAATTAACAGAAAATGAGTACAGAATAGACGTGTGAATCATAACAGATGTATAAAATAGTAGGCACCTTTTTCACGAGTGCAACAATTCTGTCAGTGAATAAATATACTTTGGATATAAAATTTTTTTACTACCTACTAAAAAATATGTAAAAAATTAAACTATTTTACATTTACACACACTAGTGAGTAAAGTATTTTTATGCATGAGTGCCAAAAATAAAATTGTAAGGTATCTACTGTTGTAGACCCAAGGGAGGTAGACCCTAAAATAAAATAATATTTCTGAAATTTGCATTTAGATATCAGAACATAAGTATATTTATACTCCCCTAGCTAACCCTCATTGGTCCAAAGACAAAATTGCAGACAACCAACCCCTAGAAAAATGTTTATTTGCGCAACGCAATTCTTTTTTTTACATAGATCCTTATGGAGCAAAACAGTATAAATACAGGCAAGATGTAATATTCTCAGTTCGGTTTCTGAATCCATCAGGTTCAGTGCAATTTTTTAATCTAGTTTAGTTTTGAGTTTAGTGTTCAAATTAAAGTGCTGGGTAGTCTTCCATAGTATCAATTTTCAAAATTTTCAATGTCGATGTATTTTATTTTTCATCTAACCTTTAGAATCTGGTTATCGCACACATATTTGTAAAGTATTTTTCATATACATTTTTTTTCAAAATTATTCAATTATAATCTAGTTGTATATGGTGGTGATTCACAAATGGTGACCAAAAACCTCATATTTTTTGGTCAATTTTAAGGGGAGTCTTTCCTATAAAGTTTTTATCTAGGACGCTTCGTTAAAAAGATACAGGGTGTTAAACTACAAAAATAATTTAATAACTAGTAAGTGAAATAATTTGAAATTGGGCACATGTATTTATGTAAATATTGTCCAAAATCTGAGGCCTTTTCCGAAAATTTACATGCTCCAGTGGCGGAGATACAAGGTATCGATGGCATATTTTTCCTAAATAAAATAGTACGCCACTGGTTTACGATATCAACCATGATATTTTTGGATTTGTCTTTCAATTTTCTACAAATTGTTACTCTTTTATGTTTTTCAAAAAAAGCCTGATTTTCGAGTAAAACTTAAAAAACCAACTTATTCCTATTTACTCATATTAAAATAGAATTTTTAACCTTATCGTGTAGTAATTGCTAACTTAGATGACCAAATTATCTATGGTAAAGTTTAAAGTTTGGCACAAAAAATGCTATTTTACAATACCTACGCGAGTACCGAAAATATCAATAGATATTTTTCAAATAAAGTGGAATACATCTTTTTTCTTAGTAACATCGACCCGAATTAAATAAAGTTACAATTTCCAAATTATCCACTGGTGGTGAAATTCTGGGGTTGTTTGAAATGGTATCACTATCTGACAAATTAACGAATTTTTGCACATAATTCGTTGACATTATCCCAAGTTTTATCAATGTATGTCAAACATTTTAAAAAATATTTCAAATCAATCAATTTCAACACTTTGTTTCTCGTAAAAAAAACGTTCTATTTATTTGAGGTGTTCTATCATCAGGTAAAATTTGTCGTGTGCAATTTAGACAGTTTGAGCTAGACACTTCTTAGTTGGTTTATTTATTTAAGTGTAGTAATATGACTAGAAGAAAATGACATGCTACATAATTAAGTGATGCCAAGAGAAATCTTTTGCCTTTTATCGAATTTTCATCTGTATTGTGTATTTCAAGAAAAATGTATTGAAATATAACAATGTTTGGAGGATTCTACAATTTTACACACAAAAATAAGACAAAATAATAAAACAAAAAAGTTGTTGTGTGGTCAAGGGGATCGGGAAAAAATAATGACCTGTATGTAATTTTAATATATATTCTAATACATAATATACTGAGGTAAATAATAAATAAAGATATGGGTAAGGTAAATAAGATGCTGTATACCAATTCTATTTTTTTAATTTATGGTATAGAATAAAAATGCTTGCAAAACATATTTGAATGTAAAGATGATTTGTTGGCCCAAAACTTGTTTTAATTTGTTTTTATCATAGAAATTTACACATACTTTTATTTGCAATTTAAAGCATTTAATATATTTGGGACATTCTGAGATTAGTTTTAAAGTTAAATATTTATTTTAAAAACAAAGCTTATCCTAACAGTTTGTATTTCACGAAAAAAAAAACAAAAGTGCTTAGGCTAATTATTATTCAAATAATATCTAATTTATCTAAAAGGTCAGTGGTGTCACCTAGAGCTGCACCGACTTATTGAAATAAAAAATAATTGATTTCTCTGCAATTTCCTGTTTTTGGTTGTTTTCACGCAAAGATACGAAAAAATAAAAAATATTTTTGTACAAAATTTTCAGCAGTCTAAAATAAAAGATTGTACCTTACAAAGCTCCTCTATCGGTGTAGACATTTTCTTTTCTGATATACGCTCGTACTTCTGTCTTTTTGTGGCTGCTTTTAAACCCTGCCAAGGTAAAGACCCTCTATTGAAGTACATTAAAACATAACCTAAGGATTCCAGATCGTCTCTCCTGGATTGTTCTATACCTAAATGTGTATTTATACTTGCGTATCTGGCAGTACCTAGAACAAAATTTCATACTATTAGAAGTCTGATTTTTTACAACTACAGTATAACATTTTAACAAGTTTTTAACATTCTCAGAAAAAAAAGCTGCTCTATACAGAAAATTGTGGCTACAAAGTTAATTCTGTTCATTATTCATGTTATTTCATTCATGTTATTAGAAGAATAATATCACGTTTTGAAAATTATTTATTGGGTTACGGTTCCTTCATTTACGTATTTTTTTGTAAAAGTCTTTCTACCAATGCAATTTTTTTTATTTAAATATGATCCTCAGAATGTTTCCTATTTATATGAATAAATGTATACAAACATCATTGACAAAATTTTTCAGAAACCAGACTAGTAAGAGCTAGAGTAGTCAAAGTATTTAGATAAGTAAAAATTACTAAAATGATAAAAATTCGTATATAATACAAACAATTTTAAAATAATCACAACAGAAATTATTTATTGATAGTCCCAAATATGGCTGTGGACAATAATGTTTCCAACCTAAATAGCTTCTGATGCTTCTTACTCAAAACATAATCGATCTTTAAACACCTTTAAACATCTTAGGTTGGTAGTTCAAATAACCGATTTGGATGCTTCTCTGCACTACAGCCTTGACTTTTTTTTTTGCTTAATGTTTGTTAATAATTGAACTATAACAGTTTTCTATATGACTATTTTTGGCATATCTCAGGAAACATCCGTTAGCAATATTTTATTATTTTTTTGCGGTTTGGTCATATTCTGATATTTTCTAAAAGATACAGTTATATCCACAAGACAGGTGATCAAAAGCATTAAAAAGAATAATGCTAAAGTAAAAGATTTGAAGCCAGTTTAACATTTACTAATTTTTGATTTGAGAAACTGACCAAATTACAATGTAATACAAAAATTGAAGTAATTTTCTATCTAGCTTCAATAAATTGGTGAAGAAATTGGAGCCAATAGAACTGGTTTTAATATACTAACCAATTTTGGGAATTTTTAAGAACTTAATATTTATTCAATATCGTCAATTTTAGTTACATTTTAATATTGTAACACTTACAATTTTAAATATTTAAAAAATAAGTTATTACTGCAGTTGTATGACAAAGTTACAAGTCATTATCATGGTTTGTGGTTTGCTGTGATTATGATTGATTTTTATTTTAAAAATTGGCCAATTTAATGTAACATGAAAAAGTGTATGATAGTAAACTGTGGTAATTTATTGATTAGTTTATTTGGTAAAAAATTGTTGTCATATTTTTGTGCAATGCGTATACAGGGTGTTATACAACAATGCGCAAAAAAGAAGGAGCGTTTTCCTCTTCTATATTTAATATTTTCTTATATAAACATTTGTCCTTGAATCCTCGTTTTGAGATAAAGGATTTTGAATCACTTCATGAATCATTTTGAACCCATGAATACGATGATATCCAAAATCAAAAATTAAATATTCAGTTCAACTCAAACCAGCAGCATAGATATGATATATGCTGGTTACATTTTCCTCAAAAATGTTGGTACACCATTTGAATAAATAATATGAAAACTACTTTAAATAAAAATTATTTTTTCACAGCTTTTACCGTTTTGATACAAATTAGTAATTTGTAAAGATTATTAAATCATATACCTATTAAATAAACGTAGAATGTATTTTTATAATAAATGTACTGAAAATAATGCTTCTATGGCTCAATACACGTTTCAATTTTTCTTGAATATTTTCTTATTCTCTTAAAAATTCTTATCGACATTTTTTTTAACTAGGTACTATCTTAAAAACGAGGGTTTCAAGGACAAATATTCTTAAATTTAGGTTACTTATTATAAATAAAGTAAAAAAAGAAGTAAGTTTCATGTAAATTTTCCAGTGAAAAGTTTATGCATATGCAACTTTTTTTTAAGAATGTGCAAATGCAAAACATTTAATACAAGGTGACCCTGAAATAAGTGTGAAAATAATTTTTTTCAAAAAGTTAAATATTTTATTTAAAAAAAAAATATCTAAGCAACGCAAGTGAATTGTTTTTTTGGAATGATTCATCATCTTAAAATATTTCAAGCCCAAATATTTGCACTAATAATACCCATTTTTTGCTTCCTTTTATAAGCATACATATTATCTCAACTAAGCAATTCAACTTGTGCTTCAGTGACAATTACCAAAAATTTTAAATGCATTATCGTAAACAACTACGAAGTTTTCGAAAAACGTTATTAAACAAAAGCTGCTGCTTTTGACGAGTTAAATGAGATATAGCTTTTGGCCTTATTTCTCGGATACCCTCTATCTACATATATGAAAGAAAACATAAAAATTGTATATTTCTGCGCCGAATTTTACTCTTCAATTATTTCAATGCTATATAAATAATTTTTATAATCAGAGGTATAAATTTACTGTAATGCATATATTTTTTAGGTATTTCAAAGAAAAATTAGCACACAAATTACCAGCTCTAGAACAACACAAATATGTATTATTTTATAAAGATATACTTGAAAGATAAAGACTGCGATTATCCGCATGATTAATAAAGTGGGTAGTTGACATAACAACGTGGTGTCCGCCTTGTTTATTATATAATTTTCAATAAATTTAAATGAGTAAGCCCTATTAGCTATGTATGTATAATAAAATCTTACAAAGCGACAATAATAATTAGTTTTGTTGCATATTCAGACACATTATATTGACCTTTATCGCGATTTTTTAGTCACTATACACTAGGTGTTTATATAAGGTGCTTACTTTCAATTAAATACAAATATTATATAAATGAATAAGATTTAAAAACAGAACATGGAATCATGAGTAAATGTCATATATGTATTTCTCTTATACTGTATAGAAAAATACAATCTGTTGAGTAGTTTTCATGTATTTGTCGTTGTTACACCCTGTTACATCACATAATATATACAGGTTGTCTTCATATTCCTTGATCAAAGAACAGGCACTGATTCTTGGTGTAGATTTTTTGTATTTCTAACGGTTTCCGCGTAATTCAATCATGTAAACATAATTAACTTAAAAATTTGAAACAAAAGTAAGTTAAGTTAACATTAGGTACATCGGCTTCGTTTAAAATTATCAATTACCTTATTGTAGTACAATTATAGTAACTTCAGTTTAATACTAATTACATTTTCTCACATAAGTAACCACTTGGCTGTGAAATCGTTAATATCTCATTAGCCTTTATATCATTCTTTATCATGAAATAATCTCCTCGCGTACTTACAATAAATGTGTTTCAATTTGGCAAAGTAACAAAATAATTACGCGACGTTTTAAACGCGTATCATTCGTATCGAGTTATTTATTGGTTATTTTTCATTTTGCGAAAAATATATGAAATGCGGAATAGTGATAAGTAACAACACAACTGCTGAAATAGGTCGTAACCTATATCTAAATTGAACAGCTGCAAAATCAGATTTTATTGTTAGATCTGCTATTAGTCTTCATATAAGAGATAGAGAATGTGACCGACTAAAATACTAGTAAGAATAACTTAGCAAATAGTCTGTAATCATAACGATAGCAAAAAAGTATTATTTAGGGTAACTGCTTTTTGTAATAATTTTTCAAAGCTAAAAGTATAAAATTAATTTTCTGTTGAATTAGTAGTCACTAATGAATATGGTCATATTTAACAAAACGCAAATTATGATTCTTTTTCTAAGAATTATATATTTCAAAGGAAAAAAACATCATTTAATGTGTGAAAACCCATTACGCTTTTTAATATAATCTAATTTAAATATATAACAAATATATGGTGCAATATTTTGTGGTAAAATGTAATTTTTTAACTGTCAATAAACACAAAGCGTATTTCACTTAAAACTTCACCACATCTAGGTAATTTCCAATTTAATTGAAATATACAGGGTGTCCCGCATAAGAACCGACACAGGGCAGGTGCATGTAGGGGTGTCCACAATATTGTAATTTAACCAAACTTACCTATATACAAAGTTGCACCCCCGAGGAGTTATTAGCCCCCAAAGTGAGGCCCTAAATTTCGAAAAAAAATAATATCTGCAACAATTTACCTCAGAAGAACCAAATTTGGTACATGATTTAGGTTTATTACTGGCCTTCTTTGACTATGATTTAAAGTTAATTGAAGCACTACAAGGTGTTCATTCAAGTTCCATTTGTAGCAAGGCTATTTGCTGATCCAAAAATAATTTGCTGATTAATAAAGATATTTTGACTATTGATTACATTTATATTTTGAAAAGGACCTGTAGCACTTTTACATTTTTAACGCGATTGACCTCAAATATTAATGCAATTAAAAACAAACAAATATTGTGACTAAATAGGATATATTTATAATTCGGTAAATTTTTATGTTTTTGATTTGAACATCTTATTGCTAATACGTATTTCACTTACGTATGACAAAAAAAAAACTTGGAAGGCGACACTATTTTTTCTAAAATCTACGTTTGAAATTTTTATTGACATCATCCTTTCAGCAAATAAAGAATGCGATAGGGCGCCACGTTTGCATTTTATTCTTGACAAAACCGCAGAAAGTGGGCAGTAAATTATTGCATTACAATATATTTTATTTTTATAAACCTCTTTATAACGAACAAATTACTGATCATATTGTCCGAAGTTACTTATTTGTAGCACGGTTTTAGTCTGTCCTTTATTTATTCGGGTACTTGTCACTTGTGACAAAAGTTAATCAAGTAAATTTTTAAAAAAGTATTTTTATGAGATTAGGTTTGTAGGTGAGATGTACATCTATGAATGTTTACTGCTATCCCATGCCTAGGCCTTCAAATGTCAATGATTCGTCGGCCGAACTCACCAGATATATACCGGTTTGTGCAAGTTCCAAAGTGCGCACTGGCAACGTTACCAGATTAGCACCGGAGCTCATTCTCTGTCTAAACGTCGATCGATGAACATCGGTATGCACAACGCACAAAAGGTACCTGTCCTACTATTAATACTAATTCCATGTTTATAGTTGCC